CTTCAGTGCTGAGGAACTCGGAAACACCCAAATGCCTCACCGACTGTGCGTTTTTAACTTAATTTACTATGGGTGTGACGTGAATCGAAACCAGGACTGCGTCTGTATGTTACACGAGCTGACTTTCGAAATCAAATCTAACTGCTAGACCTTTCGCCATTCTTCAACATCTTTTTTGTCCATGGCTGATAATATTCCAGTTACAATTTCTTCAACGTTGATATTTCGGTTGTCCCTGATACGCTGATAGATTTTCTCCTCTGACCTCAACAAGTCGTACATGTAATAGTACTAACCACAGATCCATTTTTTTCAGTCATAAGTTCGGCTGATGTTAGCTGACCTAACCGCTAGACCACCGTGGCGTTACATGTAATAGTACTAACCACAAAAGTTCGGCTGATGTTAGCTGAAGCACCACAGCAATCTTATAACTACAGTTGTTACAAAAGCACGCACGGGAGTGACGTGTATGATTTTATCAACAATATAACTCAACTGTAACAAGAATAACGTTATATGAATGTCAAGTACCAAGGTCTCTTTTTCTTCCCACAAGAGGGCTTTACACTAATGCGTCTAATGTGTGTATCTTAAGAGACACAAGACGCTGATCATAATTGAGGTCAATCACACAAACGACATCACGGACATGTTACAAGCATGTGGCGTGCATTAGTCAGTGTCTATCTCGATGTCCTGGGTACAGTCAGTAAGAAATGGACCCAGAAATTAAGACAGAACAGAACAAATACAATAATTCACGACACCTTTGGCAGATTCCGTGTCATCTGTCGAGTTACTGGTTAGCCGGTTCTGAGGAAAATATTCCTACCGTAAAACGCATGTACTAAAATATCCAATAATTTCCCCCGCTTATTTTATAACATAAATATCCAACTATTTTTCACTAAAGATTATTCAAGAAGACAGTATTTTATGATCTACCTACCTTTACCATCTGCCACGGTACCAGCCACGCAAACGATTCTATAAACCACTTCTTCCTATTTCCCATTCTTTGCATGATGTGCACGAAATGAACGCATAAGGGGGTAATAATGTTCGTCCATCAACTCACGAACCAGTGGGAAGATTTTGATGGGAAAAAAATTCATCACACAGAAGAAGTGACTATGCATTGCATCGTATATAAAGTTTCAAGGTCAACGGACACAAATGTTTAAGGTAAGTCACATTCTAATCTTCTACATTTTATTGCACTCTGCAGTTACGAAATGTCTGGACAAGAAAACAAGTTACAAACGAAACTCGTACACTGTAAACAAGCTGAAGCGTTGCTAATTCAGCAATGAACACTGTGACGAGTCAAAATGCCACAATTTACGACAAGCAAACCTCAGAATCTTGGCCTGACACCCGTAAATGCTCTGGTCGTTCGAATGGAATACTGAAACGTAGTGTTAACGCTTCCTACGCCACTGATATCCCGTTAAAATTACGTTCACGCCACGATTTCGTCTTCCAACAAGTGCGTACAAGAACAGCTGCTCCTTCTCAGATCATGCGTTGGCATTTCTTTCTCTCGACAACATTTCTCCTCCTCATAGGGCGGTAACATAAGTCGGCCGGATCAGATAGGCTACAGTGAACTGACTGGCCTAACTAGTGCCACTCCGAGAAGCAAAACTCGTTCCTGAAAACCTAATAGTTCCCTCGGCTAGACGATAAATTCCCAGTCTCCTGTGGAATCCGAAAGTTCATTACAGTATTCACAACAGCCCGCCACCGAACCCCCCAATCCTGAGCTAGATGAATCAAACCCACGTCCTCAGGCCTTAATTTCAACATTATCTTCCCATCTGCGCCTAGGTCTTCCAAATGAATTTTCCCTTCAAGTTTTCCAACCAAAATGTTCACCCAGTCAGCACTACATGTCAACCACCTTGATTTGATCATCCTAACAATATTTGGTGAAAATTCAACCTACGAAGCTCTTCCACTCTCCTGCCATTTCATCCCTCTTTAGTCTAAACAAAAATAATTGGTAAAATAACAGTTCTGTACATTTCAATGTTCACATTATGTCATAGCAGACACGTTAACATAATATTATAAACTTCATGGTAGCAAGTATTCCACGAGATTTTAGCATCCTCTTAAATGCCTCATTAATACACTTTTGATTTGTTATCGTAGTGCCAAATATCTGAACTTTGACAAATTTTAAAATGATTTATTTAGCTACCGTCCTGTAATGATTGTATCCTGTAGCTTGGTGACAATACACTCTGTTTTTCTCTCCCTGATAGCGTATTCTAAATGACGGCGTCGCAACCCAGAATACCCATAATCCTCAACGCTGTGACAATCTGGCATCACTCAATTTCATACAGAGCCTCGGTCTTGGACAAATTATTTTATCAAACACAAATATAAATTCTAAAACCAATTACAAATGGACAACTCAGCTAAGGAACATGCCTATTCATATACATAACGACCTTGCAAAATTACATGCAGAAACAAAGGCAATGGATGATGGGACATGTAGTTTGCTTTTGGCCTCCACCTTCAATGCGATAACGACGGCGGCAGCAAGCACCTCTAAAACGTCGGTAAAAGTCTTCTAGACTACACGGAGCAACACCCCAGAAAACAGTCTTCAGAAATCTCATACATGTACAATATTTTTTAATGTTATGTTTACAAAGAAGAAACTTAGAAAAACTTGGAAATACAATGACTCTTCCCACCTTTTGGTAATGATAAATTAATATTACAAATACATAAACGTTCACCGAGAAGACTCATAACACCCTCTTTTCGCAAAAAAGTACGAAAAATGTATTGATAATCTTTGAATATGGAGTTCTTGGTTACATCTCTTAACACTCCCCACGTTTTCAACAGACCATGTCCAACAAGAACCACAAAATCCGAGTTCCATTATCTGGCAAAACACACTCATATCGCGTACACCAACATTCCCATATATGAATCCTGTATAAATTATATTATTTTGAGATAATGTAGTACATAGGAAGTACTTATTCTCGTTATCGGTCTGCAAAGACTACGATAAAACAGAGATTAAATAGAGAATGCAATTTCTAATTGGTAAATAATGTTTGACGTTTGCTTACGATCTCGTAAGACAGCTCCAACAGCCAGCCTTATAGTGAATTTGGCGTGTCTGTCAAAATCATAAAAAATAAATGCAGTTATATTATTGTGGACTCACTCAATTCCTGCGATGCCGTTATGCTTGGATTTCCTGACGTTTATCCATTGGCTTTTTCGGTAAATCGAATGGTAGTTATTTCAGAATCCAGCGTTTTGAGCAAAAACATTACCGCACTCACACTACTCTACTACACAACCACCGCCATGTTAGCTGAACTATGCATCATGCAACTAGTACTGCTATTGGGTAGAGCGCCAAACACTGAGAAGCTCCTCTATTGGCCAAAAAATATTGCATGTGTAGTGTGTAAATATGGCGACGTCTGTAACGACAAATCCATCTACTTTGCTTCCTTTAGGTAAAACAATGTTTTGTTTTGCACTTAAATACTTAGCATACAGGTAGTATAAGTTTGTTATTACGAAAATAGTCCAGTAAATTAGGCATAGCAATTCTTGAAGAAAACTAGTTCGTATTTTGCGATATTCAACTAACCTTACATTTTCGAACCAAGTTTCCAACGCATCTTACGTCGTAATATTTGCAAATGCAGGATTCAGTTACATTGAAATTCCCGCCGTGTTAAACTGTTAAACATATCTACAAGATTATGTTTTATGATTCTGTAGATCCAGACACATTTGATAAGTAACAGAATTTAATACTATACCATTAATCATGTCGGTTTATTCAAAACGTTCATAAAGTGTGTGATTTGAACAAAATTTTCCTACAAAATATACTGGTAAATGACAGTTTTCCCCCACAGCATTGAAACTGGCTTTGCTGCCACCCAATCTCCTGTCCACTGGGTACTAGATTTCCTTCCCTGGGTGTAAAGCAGCAGCATGGTGCAGTACCTTCGCTCCTCCATACACCTACATGTTATGGTTCTTAATTAATCATAGGGACAAGTTTATCTTTACCTTTATCTTCATATGCAGCATTCATCATTTTGATCACATTCTTCAGCATGTCCAAACACAGGATTGCTTAAAGCTGTGGAGCTTTCTTAATTTCATTTAATGTGTTTATTTTACAGAACTTGTAGACAAATGTATCGGCTCTCGAATACACATCATTATGAAAAATGATAAAGAAATTGTTGGAACATTGTTGGGTTTTGATGATTTTGTGAACATGCTACTGGAAGATGTCACTGAGTATGAGTCTACCCCAGAAGGCAGAAGAATTACAAAGCTTGATCAGATTCTGCTCAATGGAAACAGCATTACAATGGTATGTGTGAATAGAATATTTATATCACCCGCATTAAAATTTAAGCTTTTTACTGAATTTTTATTTTAGACTTTTTTTCTCAGGATGGGAAGATTCTACTGTAACCAGATCTTCCTAACCTCTCATCTCCTGTCTTCCAAGTGGCCATTTTTCATGGGGATTCCCAAGTATTTATTGTATTCATTTCCATGATGTCTGATCCAGTCTACATTATTATATCCATCCATACTTATCATATTATTTGTAGTGGTATTTTATAAGTTATGTATTTTATGAGATAACTGAATAAAAGATTTTATTTAAATTGTTGATGAAGGCACATTAACCACAGGAATACAATGAGGATGGCACAAGTTGCCAAAAAGCATCTGTGATATAATAGATAATGTTTTAACAGTGCATGAAAGTTCTAAAATGACCCTTTCAGTAGGTTACAGAGTGACATTAATATTTCTACCAATGATAAATTCACATTCTTCTTTCTTTTCAGCTTGTACCTGGAGGAGATATGCCTGATGCATGAAGAGTCTCTTTTGTTTTTGTACAAATTTAAAATGCATAAAATGTAATTACCTTTTGTAATAAAAGAATATTTGAAAAGACACTACAATTATTTCAATGCTGCTTATAATGTTATAAATCATCTTCAATGAAAACATGAACACAAATGGCATCACACGTAGAACTCTGGACATATTTAATTGACGTTCAGATGTTGCAACATTCCTATGTATTTCGCATGTTCAAAGATGCAATTATTTTCTTAAGTTCATTGATAATAGTGCAGATAGATGGTCTGCTAATAGGATCCTGGTTCCAGCAAAGACTGTACAGACTAATGAAATCTTGTAATTTAACATCTTGTATTGGCTCTGGTCGGAGCCTGCCAGAGCCTACCTGCAAAACAATTATTTATTTACTGTTCCCATGAATACTATATAATAAACAATACAAATTACATCAGTAATTTATGGTAGTGTACTAATAATTCTCAAAAAAAAATTCAAAGGCTAGTTTCAGTGATACATTTTTTTCAAAATTGGGATGTCTTGTCTTTAAGCACCTTCTTCTTTTGTTCGGAATGTGGCACACAAATGTGACACCTGTTAATAATTATTATTAATATGTAGCTTTTCATTAACTGAAGCTTCCATTAGTATGTAAGTAGAAGAAGCCGTTTTGCATCCGATAAATTTGGTGGAAAACACATGTTTTGATATGATACATGGAGAAGTGAAACACTGACCTTATATATTATTTCATGTAATGTGTATCCTTGATATGGAACTTCATGAGACAATAGTTGCCAGCATGTAATTCCAAGGGAGTAAACATCAGACTTTTCAGAGGGTAATTTACCTTGGAGAATGTCTGGGTCTGTATACATAACAGTATTCTGAGAAAAAAAACATTACAGAAGGTAATAAAACTATAGTTTATAATCTGCATTTATATTTCTTCTGTTTTTTAAAAGAAGCCTCCACAATTCACCTATGCCATTGGGAAAGCATTGTTAAATAAACTAGGAAACAGCTGATGCTTGTAATTGATAAAGAATGGTTGGCCCAGGACAGGGTCCGGTGGAGGGCTTTGGTTAATTCGGTGATGAACCTTCGGGTTCGGTAAGCCATCTAGTTAGTTAGTTAGTTATTAATAATGGGAAATTATATTTACAAAATATATTGCGTTAAAGTTCATAGTTTTCCTACAGAAACAACTGACATATATTACACTTAAAAAACTTATTATTGTTTTTTAAAATGGAAGGTGTGTGTGTCGGTAAATACTGATGCCAGTTCAAAGTACGAAAACATCTTGATCAATTAAAGGTGTTCCATCCATTACAGCTTAGGCAATATGTCATAAAGCAATTATATTTTATTTTTCACCTTTTAGTATGAATATTATTCAGCATTCATAGATCGTTTCCTGAAATTAGTCAAGCAGATCTCTGAGAATACAGTTTAAGGTATGACTCTTTCCAGTAACTGATTAACAAATAGTGCATCTGGAACTCACCATATTTGGCGACACAGTACAGTACCCTTCATCCCCTAGAACATGAGAGCTTCCAAAGTCACAGAGTTTGCAATAATCTGCTTGTGAACAAACCATGATGTTGCTAGGTTTCACATCAAGATGCAGTATCTTGTTGCCATGGCAGTGATGGAGTGCAAGTGCAATATCAAGAGCATACCTGTAAGGTGAATTATAATATCCAGCTCATTGGATCAGAAGTATTCTAACATTTATAATGTATATGCAGCGAACTTTATTTGCTTTCAGTTGTTGCTCAATTATAAACTATCTTTTGTCACCAATTTCAAAATGTTAAAAAGCACTGTACAAAAATCTCTCTTATCCTTTGTATAACTTTTAATATTAATTAATTACTTAAAAATACATTAAAAACTCAGTTGTTAGTTTACTGTCCTCCTCTGCATAACACCAAAGTCTAGTCTCAAGCTGAGATTTCAGGTTCTAATGGTGTGCGATCTTGTAGAAAGTGTCTTGACATTTCATAGATACTTACTGCCTGCATCATTAGGGTGATGATTAAGCCAAAATATATTCTTCAAGATACTGAAAGCTGTGAACTGGTATAGTTAGCACTTTGCTGGAAAGATGAAGTGCAATACTTATTTAGCATTATATGATATCTGAGGATTATGAATCATGAAATTAGAAGGATATGAATCAAGGCAGTTTCTCTAATACTGTTGTGTGTACTAAGGAAAATCAAATGTCATTTACCATAGTGGTGCCCCAGATGATATTTGTACTGGAAGTCAGATACATCATTGCCAAGCCAAACCTGCTTACTTGGATTTCTTGAATATAATTAACAGATGAGCTACAATACAAGAAACTTTGTATGGTGCATACCTTGTTCTCCGGGTGCTATTCATGACAAACGTTGGGTCAGAGATAACGGACTGCAAGTTTTGGCCATTGCAAAGTTCCATAAAGACAAGACCATATTCCCCCCCTGTAGGTATCACATGTAGTACTTTTACAACATTCTTATGAGACAATTTTAAAGCATTAGACTCATTTCTCAATGATCCTATGGACTTTTGAAACCTGCTTTTTGGAATTACTTTCACAGCCACATCTTCACCTAGAAACAGAAAAAAGGAATAAGCTATCCCAGGTAATGACAGTGAAGTGTCAAGATTCAGTTCACATCAAAGTAGACATATTTTTCATGCAAGAATTTTTCTGCTACTGCGAGGAACGTTAAGTCGTCTCTTGCTATAATTTGAAACAAATTCATAGAGAGGTTGATTTGGTTTTAGGTGCTGCACAGACTGGTCTGTAGATGCGAACATTTCAGAGAAATGTGCTGTCTCCATTATGCACAGAGACAGAAGGGCAAGATGGACACAATATGTTTCTGTGAAACACTGGTGTCTACCAACCAGTCCACATTGTGCCAAAACCCAGAACTTCATCACCACTGGGAAGGCCTTAAATCTTACAGACTTCATACTGTATTTATTATGTATGCCAATAAAGTAAACAATAGTCTTTCAACCTGAAGTAACTGCTTAACCAACCTTTGTACTTTGCCTGGATAACAGTTCCAAAGCTGCCTTTGCCCAACCTTATCCAGTGTTTCTTGGAATTCAGTCCATGTGATAACAGAGCTATTATTTTCTGTGTGTCAAGTGTCACCAATGCATCTACACCACCTACAGTTCTCTCATTTGTACCAAAAGATAAAGTTTTAGAACAGCTCCTTGGTGATGAAGCAAATTCTGAACTCCATTCCAGCTTCTGAGCTGCACAGTTTCTTGATGGTGATAAACACATACCCATATTTGAACTCTTTGTTGCATTATGGGAGGCTTTTGTAACACTGCATTTGGGGAAAGAAAACACACTCTAAAATAAATTATGTTATGTAACAGACCATAAAAATATGTCATGACAACTAGTTTCTTTCATATAAACGCAGACTTTCTTTTAAAAATTACACCAAGTGTGAGAACAAGTACAAATGACATTTCTTCCAAAACTTCTCATAGCAATACCACTGACTTTTTTTTACAGATTAAATAATTGCCTTATTTATAGTAATTTCAATATTTAATTTTCCTTTAATTAATTATTATAATTAAAAATAAGCATGCGCACACACAGAGCAAGGAAATAAAATTAAACAGTACCAACAATTTGTACTACTCAACATTTATAAAGCATACATATGAAGCTCAAATTTCTGTGTTGTTTGAATAATGGATATACAGTACTGTACAGTGAAACTGTAACATATCAGGGCCTACTAATGACCCATGTTCTAAAATGTTGAGTATACATAAGAAGAACCTTGTAGAGTAAAATGAAATGTTACAGATTTTCACTTACCTCAAACTATCTGTTACTGGTGTGTACAGAGAACTATAGTATTTCTTGGAAGAATGGGGTGATTTGGCTTCATTTCTAGAGATGCACAAAGGCGATACATTTTTAGGACTAGCTAGTTTCTGCAAGTGCCTTAAACTGGAAGCCATATCTAAATGTTACCACCTGATGTCCCTCAATGTCTGTACCACAGTCCTTTACTGACTGTGGTGTTGAATGAGAAAGTTGAACTTGTGTCATATATTGTACCAACCTTAAAAAGATTAGAGATTATCAAATACATACACCAGAATATCCCTATCATTTCTTTTCTTACAATATCTCTGCAAGAAGATCAAAGAGAAACACTGAGTGGTGAAATGATGTCACAGGCATTGCAGACAGGTATTTTTTTTTTGTAGTGTTCTGTCTGACGACAGGTCCATATATTATGAACAGGATCCTTCCAACCTCTTCAGGTTGTCAGGGACCTGCTCATACATATATACATTCTTGGCAGAGATGATCAGAAGTGGTTTGCCATTGCCTTCTTCTGTGTGTGAGTGGAGTAATTATTGGGATGCCATGGAGAAACCGGGGAAGCCCCCGGAGGAAAACTCCGTGATGCCTAGACCACGGCCTTGCCCAACACAAGTTATAAAGTTGAGCACCACCGGGAATTGAACCCGGGACCCCAGGCTTACAAGGCTAGTGTTCTGACTGCTAGACCACCGTGGCGACAGACAGGTATAACAGGTAAAAATAAAATGAGAACAAATAGGACATAATTTTATTTCCTTTTTCTCCCTAGAAGTCATCATTATTAGTATTTCTTATACATTCCAAGGCAGAATCTCTGCAACAATAATAGAACACCCACCTCCCTTCCTTTAATATTCTAGAGGGGGTCTTTATGAGTGCATTTTAACATATTTATACCAGTTTTGAAATATCAGAAGAAATGTGATCTACTATTTTTATTTACACAATATTTAAACTGTATAAAAAATATGGAAATAGTTTTCATAGTAACAGGGTTAAAGTTATTAAAGTAGCAACTCCATGATCCTAGCTATAACAAGGGTTCCCATACATTATCAGTAGGTACCTGAACTAACTCCACTTTACTCCCAACCCTTTTCTCTCATTGGGAAACCATAAATTCAAAGTCTTGATATCTGCTCCAAGATCACACTAAAATATATATTTAACTCATTCATACCCTTTCACTTTCTTCATGCACTTCAAATTTACCAAAGTATACAAGATGGAAGTTACATAGTTTTTCACAGATCATTCAATTTCCTAGAGCTTAAAAATAACAATATTCCTTAAATTAAAATATATAATAAACTTCAGGTCAATACACAAAACTTCATTTAGATGTTAAAATTTAAATGTTAAAATTTAAAATTTTAAATTTTAACATTTAAATTTTAACATCTAAATGAAGTTTTGTGTATTGACCTGAAGTTTATTATATATTTTAATCAAAAAACACAAACATGACGCATGTAAACCTTAAACAATATTCCTGTTAATGAAACAGCTTTATTCCTTACATTGGAGAGGACAGAAAACTTTTTGGAAAAAAAACAATATACTTACTGGAAGTTCACATCACCATTGCTTGATGGAGCATGTGCAACTGTTATGAAGCCATTCTAAAGACAATAACAAATTCACTTATCAAGAGAATGAAATGACCGATGCACTGCGAAATGGTCTCAGGCATCATATTTCCATTGAAAGGAGCATCTGGTCCCATTTCAAGTAGGCCAACATAAACATCAGCATAATAATCAATAAAATTTGAGTGGCATAATGATTTTCATAAGGGTACAAATGTGTTAAACTCTTCAACACTTTCAATTACACAGTTAGAAATAATGTCTAGTTCATCTGAGACATGGAGACTTGCATAATGACTCAATGCAAATAAATTTAATTTTTCCTATGTGCCATAATACCATTACCTGCCCTATAACACAGGATACATAGGAACATAAAAATCAACAGTGATTTTACTAGTTTTGTCAGACATAAAACGAATTTTGACAACACATTTTTAATCACAACTTAAAACTATAAAAACACTATAATGGTTAATGAAAGTGTGGAGTTCCAATTGCCACCAGGGGTGTAAAAAAAACATATTGAAACTGCTCTCTTCAATACAGGAGCAGGTAAAAAATTTATCACATGAGACTGGCCAAATTTCAGTCAAAATATCTGTTTGGAACCTAAACCAATGACAAAGACATTTCAATGAAAACGTAAACAAGAAGCAAATGTACACCCTACTTAAATAATGTCTCTGGCACTGGTATTTTTCTGACTTATCAGCTGAAAAATAGTCCATGAATTCCAACTTTTTAATAGTTAAATGCAAGTGCTTCAGAACAAATAACAATAATATTGCTGAAATTATATTCATTATAAACGTTTTCACAATGGTTAGTACATCCCTGGACAAATGGATGCTGCCACAAAGCTTTCATTTTCAGCTACACTATTGGAAAGTACCAGTATCCCTTCAGTACATCAATGAGGAACAGTACTTTTAAACTTACCTTTTATCTATGATAAAATATGACATCATAAAATAAAGTATAACATTTAAAAATGTTATACAATAAAGATAAAAGACTATAAAGAAGACTACAGGAAGATTTTATCAAAACTAACAACATTAAAGTGTTAGGAGAATATCACTGTAAGCAACCAGGTTAATTTAAAATAAACAGTTTAAACAGATTATAAAATATCTTCCTGAATTGCATTTCTTACCCACAAATGAAAACTGAAGACATCAATTTGTTTTTATAATAAATGTGTATACTCAATTAGAGTTTAGAAGACCTGACACAGACCAGTAAGATTCTTAACAAGGGCATCATTTTGGGAAAGACTGGCAGTGTTACATTTTTATTTGAATGCTATCAGATGCAAAAGATTTATTCAGTTTTTATACTTTTCAATGACAGTGATACATTTTTTTTCAAGACGAATGAAAGCAGATCTAAACAACTCAGTGGTCTCCTACCCAATCTCCTACACCATCTGCAGACATTCAGTACTTATCTCCATTATGTTTGCACTGTATCATAAATTAAATGAATTATAATTATTCTTCAATAAAAATATGTGGAAAATTCTATTCTTACAAGAAGTATTGAACATGAGAGAAATATGCTACATTGTTGTAATGTATAAACTATAAATTTTTATATTTAAAAAGAAGTTCTAGAAAGAACTTACACATTTTCTCATTATAAACATCTAATTAGATAGATATAATCCATAACAATTACACATACAAATTTAATGTTGAGAATTCATAGGTGTTGTTTTTAAAGCTAATTACAGTTATCTTGACAAAGATTTCTTGTGACTTTACTCAGTCTCTCCAAACAACTATATGATAATAACCCACATAAACTGATAAATCAATAAAAATGTTACATGTATAAATTGATGATGCATATGAAGAGGCCGGCCAGTTATTTTACATCTGCTTAAACATAATCTTAGTAAATGATGCACTGTTTATTATATTCTTCCACTTCTTTTTATCCAGTCATCATTTAAATTTGTCCCCTCTTTACCTTAGAGGTTTAATGATGCCCCTGCTGATACAAAGTTTCTTTTGCAAGTATTTTAATATCACATACTGTGTCCATAATGTGTATCGCTCTTCATCTCCTCCAGTTTTCATTCCATGTTCTGTTTCATTCATACACTCATCCATCTTAGTGCCACATTCACAACAGCTGGAGGAGTGAGAACATAAAATATTGGCTGAATTATGTTAGACGTATATTTCTAATAAAATAAAATAAATCAATCTATTAAAGAGTGGAGAGAAAGATGCTAAGTATTATAAGCTGAGAATCCAGAGTAACACATATTAATACATCTGAAAATTTACAAAACCGTGATCTACGTTGTTCTTGCTGTGATGGGGTCAAACTATGTCACTGAGGAACTGAGCTGCTAACATGCCCCTTTGTCCATCCCCCAGAAGATTCATGACTAAAAATGGACAAATGGTAAAATTATACTGACAAGGGGAAATTGAAGGACTCGGACAGAATACCCCAGTACCACTTTGTCAGCCACAAATCCCACATGGACTGCCCACAGTGTGAAATCAAGCCTCCATGGTAAGAAACAAACAACTAACCCCCTGAGCTATTGCATGGCTTATGATCTATATTAATATATCAGTTGCTTTCAGACACTACACATATATATAAAAGAGTATAAATGCCAACTACATGTCAGAATACGATTACCGCAGTTGCAAGTCTACTGCTGCAAGGTGATAATGCTACATGCAACACTGCATAATAAAAAAAATTGTATTTTGTAACATATACACTACATAAAATCAAATTTGAGATGTAAGTAAATGTTAGCATGGTGCGCATTTTGTATGAAGAAATGTGTCTGTAAACTTCACAGAACTTATTGCCACTAACATTTCTGAGTGCTTTCTCTTATGTTATGGATAAAATAAGATGGTTTAGACCACAAATAACATTCTAGAAAGTGGTGATAATCTGTGCAAAATGGAGTGTTTTCCATCAGCATTGTTAACTTCGTTGGTAAAAATTTAAAAAAAATGCAGACAGATATTTTACCAGATGAAAAGCGGACAGTGAGAGGCGTTGAGTAAGATTATTGCCGGTAGCGGGACTCCAAGAAGCCCTCCCCATATTTAGATTTTCTTATGCGATTCCCAATTTCAGCCACCCTGCAATGCTAGAAGATGTTTTTACTCTGAAGCTGACAGCAGTAACTTGCTATTTCTTCTACAGATACCTTCTTATTATTCAAGACATTTCTCCCTGTACACCGTATGCAAATTGTCTATTGATCTTTCTTCAGTACGGAAGTTAAAATCTACATCCTTCTGTAACGTGCATTCTTTGGTTACTTATAATAACTTTAGCTTTCTCTTTCCCCATCCATACATGTACGTGTTTCTACTTCCTCTAGCAAACATAAAATACAACTTCTAAAAACTTGAAGCAAAATATCTGTCACCATATGTGGACCCGCTGTTTTTAGTGCCTTGTGTGAAAACATAAATCCAAACATGACTTTAAAATATTCTACATCATTCACTATAAAACAGACTTATATATTCAACGAGTAGATCAAGCAGAAAAATATACAATCCCTCAATGGTTCCAACCACCTCTTCACAACCACTCTAGCCATTCATAACTGATAACATTAAGAGGGAACTTATTGTAAGTCATGGTGCTAGTAACTGGAACCAATACTGACAGAATTTGCACCAACTTTTACTCCTTTCCACACAGTCATTTTATACACCTTTTTTTATTTATAATAATCACAGATAGAAATACCAGTAAAATACTTAATATCATTTTTAAAATACTGTATAGTATCTTTCACTCATCAGATAAAAGATTTTAAACTTCAATTCTAAAGCAACTGGAGATAAAATACTGCCTTTTGTAACTACTGGATTCTTTTCAAAGGACCCTAACTTCTGTGACATGAATGGAATTTCATAACCTAACCTAATACTGTTTATCTTGAACAATCTTGAACAGAGACTTGGATATGAGTTCTAATTATACTGTTTAGCCAAGTTCCAGCAAGTGTGAACATCTTTGAAGCAGTTTTACATAACACTAGAATTTTGTGAAATAATAATGAAAAATAAAATTGCATTCCTAAAATTTCTAGCAAAAGAATCCGTACTGTTTCCTACACTGTTCGAAAAGAAAGCATCCTAAAATTTCTAGCAAAAGAATCCGTGCTGTTTCATACACTGTTCGAAAAGAAAGCGCGGATCTTCTAAATTTGGATTCTTCACGAACTTGTAAGAACACATGTGGAGTATTCTTTGCATTTATACTTTAATTTTTCTGTTCTTGCTGCACTTATGATTATTCTAACCTATTAATGGACAAACAACCATCCCTGTGGCTGCAGAATAAATGTGCTATCTCAGATAAACTATCAGACATCAATACCTTGGTGTATAATTACTTAGTAGTACAATGGACCATTCTCACAATGTAAAAGAAGTCCTATCTTACATGCAATAAGTGAAACAGGTACTAGAGCTTTACATTACTATTTAGTAAGATCAAAATACTTCCTCTACCACTCTCTATTACTTATGTGAGCAGAACTCTAAAATGGTATGTACACTTAGACAATTCTAAAACTCTTCTCAACATGTTCACAACCCTGGTACTTTACCATTATTAATGAGCAAGCAAGAGCCACAGATACATCCTTACATGGCACAAACCATCTTGCCATAACAAAAACAACCAACAGCCTGTCATGCCAGCACTGTTATCAATGAAACAGCAGACTGAAAATACTGAGCTGTACAAGTTAAAAAAAATTCTCACTTCATGTCATAATCCAGCAGTTCTTTATATACGGGTTTCAGAAGTAATATCGTTCTTGCATAATAAAACCTTTCAGTATCCTAAACAAACCATTTAACAGTACTACTTCAAAGGCACTTCTATTGAAATTTCAATAACTTCTCCACACAGTTTCTAGCTCATCCCTTTCAAAATGGGTTAACCATCTTCATTTTCAATTAAATACTTTACAGTAGAAAAAGTTGGAAGTACTCTCTGTTAAATAGCACATAAAATTCTTTATTTCTTCTTCACTGTGGTACTGGGATGGATAGAGTGTTATTGACAGAAGGTCATTTAACCTGGCAGTGGTGCTTCTGTATAGAAATCTGGTTCATCTTCCAGACTATCTGAATCTGCCTCTTCGCTGTCCAGCTGGAATATACAAGTCGTAATTATAATGAGTATAATCAAAGATTTTCCAAAAGAATACTTCAGATTCAATAGAGAAGTCACAAGCTACAGTCTGATGGGTCACCATTTTGAAGGCGGCATAGTCAACAAAACAATGAATATTAGAAACCCTCCCACAAAGTTGATTACCTGAGAATACTTAATTGAGGTTAAGGTGAAGTTAAATCTTGTCCTCATTTCTTGCTTAAAATAAAATTGTTTTGTGATAAATACAAATTCGATATAAAAATGCCATACTTATAATTTGCAAAACACTTGTTACACATTTTCATTTCATGACATTTCGTTTGAACAGCAATCTTTCCAATCTACCAGTGTTCAGAGAACATGCACATTGGATAGTAGAGATTGAAACAAGAAACCAAATGAGTTTCTGCAGACACTTCCTATGGCAGAGCTGCTCTGTCCTTGTAAAAAAAACTAGATATTTGCACCCTGATGATGCAGGCAGTAAACTCCTCTGAAATGTCAATATCTACCAGACCACACAGCACAACATCAAAGAAGACAGTCCTCTAGGTATCTGCAGATTCTGAATAAAAAATAACATAAATATATTCATATATTTTGATTATGAATAAGG